CGCTCTGTCGCCCAGGCTGGAGTGCAGTGGCCGGATCTCAGCTCACTGCAAGCTCCGCCTCCTGGGTTTACGCCATTCTCCTGCCTCAGCCTCCCGAGTAGCTGGGACTACAGGCACCCGCCACCTCGCCCGGCTAGTTTTTTTGTATTTTTTAGTAGAGATGAGGTTTCACCGTGTTCGCCAGGATGGTCTTGATCTCCTGACCTCGTGACCCGCCCATCTTGGCCTCCCAAAGTGCTGGGATTACAGGCTTGAGCCACCGCGTCCGGCCTAAAGTACTATATATATATATATTTTTTTTTTTTTTTTTTTTTGAGACGGAGTCTCGCTCTGCCACCCAGGTTGGAGTACAGTGGCCGGATCTCAGCTCACTGCAAGCTCCGCCTCCCAGGTTTATGCCATTCTCCTGCCTCAGTCTCCCGAGTAGCTGGGACTACAGGCGCCCGCCACCTCGCCCGGCTAGTTTTTTGTATTTTTAGTAGAGACGAGGTTTCACCGTGTTAACCAGGATGGTCTCGATCTCCTGACCTCGTGATTCGCCCGTCTCGGCCTCCCAAAGTGCTGGGATTACAGGCTTGAGCCACCGCGCCCGGCCTAAAGTACTATATTTTTAAGGAAAAAAAATTAGAACATGCCCCAGAGGAAAAAAGTGAAGCTATCCAGGTGTTGGTGTTGTGTTGATTGACAGGTTTCAGTGTTGTGTTGGAGAAGAGAGAGAAAATGTAACAACCTTTGAAGATTAAATAAAAAGGTTAAATAAAAAGGCCCGGCATGGTGGCTCATGCCTATAATCCCAGGAGGGAGGCTGAGGAGAATTGCTTGAGGCCAGGAGTTTGAGGCTGCAGTGATCCAACATCATGCCACCACACTTCAGCCTGGATGACAGAGTGAGAAAGACCTTGTCTCTTAAAAAAAAAAAAAAAAAAAAAAAAATATATATATATATATATATGTACATGTATATATGTGTGTATATATATATATATATGGGAAAATCAGTTCAGTATCAGTTAAAATCCCTGGTTTGAGCAACCAGTAGAAGATTGTGCGATTCACCGAGCTGGGGAACCCAAGAAGAAGAGCAGATTTCAGAGAGCTGATAAGGAACTCATTTTTGGAGTGTGAAGTGCCTGTGGGAATTCCAGGTCAGGCAGGTGGCATCAGGGATTTGGAGCTCAGGAGAGGTCTGAGAGGGAGGGGGTCACCAGCAGATAGCCCTGGGCATGGATAAGCTTGCCCAGGAGTAGGTACAGATGCAGAGGAAAGAGGCCCTGGGACAGAACCCTGAGGAACTCCAGCATTTAAAGGAGGGCCAGAGGAAGGTGAAAATTCATGGGAAGCTAGGAATGGCCAGAGAGAGGGGACAAACTAGGGTAGTAATATGGAAGCCAGTTAAAGAATATGTTTCAAGATGTAGTGGCAAACTATGTTGGATGGCTCCAGAGGTGTCAAACAGGATAAAGATGAGATGTGTGTCCATTGGGTTTGGAGGCAGGGAAATTCTTGGTGACCTTGAAGGTGGAAGCTACTTGGAGATAACCCTTTGAAGAAGATTGGCTGTGAAGAGGAGGTGGCTGGAGGCGGGTGTGTTGTGAGGTTTGAACAATGTAAAATGCTGTGAGAAAGAGGTAGGATGCAGATTTGAAAAAATGAGGAGGGATAATCAAGAGGGCATCCGTGAGGGAGAAGGATGTTCATACTCAGTGGTTCATACTCAGAAATCTGGAAATGAGGGAGGAGGGCGGTGCAGGCTGAGGTGAGACAATGCAAAACCCTACTATGGGGCTGGGCACCGTGACTCACACCTGTAATCCCAGCCCTTTGGGAGGCCGAGGTGGGCAGATCACTTGAGCTCAGGAGTTCAAGACCAGCCTGGCCAACATGGTGAAACCCCATCTCTACTACAACTACAAAAATTAGCTGGGCGTGGTGACTTGCGCCTGTAATCCCACCTACTCAGGAGGCTGAGGCAGAAGAATTGCTTGAACCCAGGAGTTGGAGGTTGCAATGAGCCAAGATCGTGCCATTGCACTCCAGCCTAGGTGACAGAGTGAGACTCTGTCTCAACAACAACGAAAAATCCTACTATGGGCTCGTGCCCAATGATCTTGTAAGAGAAGTTTATATTTTCCCCCATTGCCATGCCCTTTGCAGTGCCCTCTGTGGGAGCAATATACGTCCTCACCCCACTTCCCTAGTACTTGGCTGTGTGGTCTTGGTCAAGTGAGTATAAGCAGATATGCCATATGCCAGGTCTGAGCAGCAGCTTTAAGAGTGAGTGGGTGGTTTTCTCTGCCTTTTGTTCTTTTGCCCTGCCGTTAAAACAATGTGTCCCAAATGAGGGCAGTTACTTCAGACTAGGTCTTGTAATAAAGGCACATGAATCAGAACTGTAGCCAACACCACTACCAATGTAAACCATGAAAGAGAAATATACCTCTGTGGGATTCTGAAGGCATTTGTTGATAATGGCAAAACTGACTAATGCAGGCATTCAACTAAATTAAAACCCTGAGATACCATTTTTTAGTCCCCAGTTTCAAAAGTTTGATAGCATACTCTGTTGCTAAGGCTGAGGATGCAGGGACTTTCATACATTGGTACAACCTTTATGGATGTAGGCAATCCCTATAAAAATTAAAAACGCAGATGTCTGTGATAACAAAGACAATAATAAGTGTTAGCAAGGTTGTGGAGAAACTGGAACCCTTATACACTGCTGATGGGAGTGTAAAATGGTCCAGTCACCTTGGAAAACAGTTTGGCAGTTCCTCAAAGGGTTATATATAGAGTTACCCTGTGACACAGCAATTCCAGCACTACTAGGTATACACTCAACAGAATTGAAAACATATGTTCACACAAAAACTTGTACACGGATGTCCACAGCAGCATTATTCATAATAGCCAAAAAGTGGAAACAACTCAAACGTCTATCAACTGATAAATGAATAGATAAAATGTGGTGTATCCATATAATGAGATATTATTTGGCCATACAAAGAAATACTGGTACGTGCTGCAACTTGGATGAACCTTAAAGGCATTATGCTAAGCACAAGAAGCCAGTCACAAAAGACCACATATTATATGACACCTTTTATATGAAATGGCCAGACTAGACAAATCTATAGAAACAAAGTAGATTAGTAGTTGCCAGGGGTCGGGGAAGGGAAGAATGGGAAATGACTGCTATTGAGGGTTTTTTTTGGGTGCTGAAAATGTTCTGGCATTAGACAGTGATGATGGTTGCAACAACTTTGTGAATATATGAAAAACCACATAATTGTCCACTTTATTTTTTAATATTTATTTATTTTTGAGACAGAGTCTCACTCTGTCACCCAGGCTGGAGTGCAGTGGTGCGATCTCAGCTCACTGCAGCCTCGTTGACTGAAACGTCGTTACGTGATGCATGATGTGTGCACCACACATCATGTGTGAGGTCTAGTGACTGTTGGCAGTGGATTATATTAGACCATCCCATTTTGAGGATGGTTGCTCCCTTTCCAGATTTTCTTGATCTTCTTGCCCTGTCATTTGGAGGGTCCCCCAGGCCTTGGTGTTTGCTCCCTCCTCCCATCCATCTCTCTGAATTCTCTCTCCTTTAGGGAATGGAGCCCATCACAAGGCTTCAGCTATACCCTGACTCTCAAACCTGCTTTCCATTCTAGCATCTCATCAGAGCTGTGGGCCTGACCCCCTCCCATAGGATGTATGGAAAACAGTTTGCCATCTGTAGTCCCAGAAGACCTCCACTCAGATGAGTATTTCCAAGCAATACCAGTTTATTTCTATCCAGTTTCCCCTTTCTGCATCCCTGTTTCTTTGAGGGGTGCCATTATTTTTCCAGTCTTCCAGGCTTGAAATCCCAGGATCATCTTTGAGTCTTCCTTCTCCTACAACGTAGCTCCCCTAAGTGTTGAATTCAGCACAATCCAGAGAATGAGCACGCCTGCAGATTGTTCTCTCTGTCATTTCCTACCATCATCACTCTTATTCAAGTGTGGATCGCCTCTTGCCTTATTTACTGCAAGAGCCTGTTAATTCTTCTGCATCCTACTGCTATAAATTGGTCTTCTGAGAGCATCCATTGTACTACATTATTCCTTGTCACACAATCTTTAAGTGACTTCCCATTTTCTGTAGGATAAAATGTTGATTCCTTGGCCTGCCTGGCACTCATGACTCCTCATGTGCTCACAAAACTCTGCCCACCCTGCCTTCACTCCCATGCTCCCGCCAGCCCTGTGTTGCCACTGACCTCAGGATAAGTCCTATTCATTTCCGCTGTAAGCTCATGGCTTTCCTCCTCTTACCCCGGAATGCTTCTCTTCCTTCCAGTCACCCACCCCATTTCTCTTGCCCTCTTTTAGGATCCATCTGCATTCCCACTGCAAGTCTTTCTCAGCCTTCAGCCTCCATCCATCTCCTTCTTTCCTGAATTCCGAGGAGACCTAGGGTCGGCATCCAGCCATGGCCTGGTCTGTAACTGTTGCACATGTGTCTGTGTCCTCCCAGTGGGGTGAGGAGGCGTTCTCAGTCCTCAGCACCATGTGGTGAACACAGTTGGTGCTCACTACAAACAGGACTCCCCGCCCGGAAGGCACAAGATGGCACTTGTTTAGCAAATGCTTCCTCAATATAACCCCTTTCCTTCCTGCTCTAGGAGAGGGCTTTAGAAAGCAGGGCAGTTCTGAAAAGACTCTGGGGGTTGGGATGCAAAAGAGGTTGGCCTCTGAGGCCTGCTTAAAGGATTTTATGTCGGCCTGCATGGTGGCTCACGCCTGTAATCCCAGCACTTTGGGAGGCTGAGGCGGGTGGATCACCTGAGGTCAGGAGTTCGAGACCAGCCTGACCAACATGGCTAAACCCTGTCTCTACTAAAAGTACTAAAATTAGTCGGGTGTGGTAGTGCACGCCTGTAGTCCCAGGTACTTGGGAGGCTGAGGCAGGAGAATCTCTTGAACCTAGGAGGCAGAGGTTGCAGTGAGCCAGGACTGTGCCACTGCACTCCAGCCTGGGTAACAGAGTGAGACTCCATCTCAAAAAATAAAAAGGTGGGGGGATTTTACGTCCCTGCCTCTCAGGCGCCCTCCGCCTCAGTCTCCAGGGTCACCTGTGGCAGTTTCTCAGGCCCTTGTCTGCCCTCAAGACACCCCCATGCTGGGCCCTGGGATGCACAGTGCAGGTCCCCTCTTTTGCGCTGGCCCTCTGGTTCTCGCCACCGTGGGGTTAATGCAGCATGGGTTTTGCCTTTCATCTGATTTCCCATCTCCTTCTGTCAGCTAATGATTATTCAGGGAGCTTCACCTCACCCTGCTGTCCCTATCCCAAATCTGTCAAAGTTCTCTTTGGGGCAAAGGTCATGAGAATTATGGCCATGTGACTGCTGTTTTCACCCCACTCCCTCTGCCGTCTTGGTCCCACTGTTCTGAGGAGCTACCTTTGCACCCTGCCTCTGGCTCTCCTGAGCAGAGAGGTAAGTTTGTCTCTGCCTTAGGTGGAAATGGCCACTAGAGTCCACCTGCTCAGCACTGTCTGCGTTTTCTTTCCCTCCTGTTCCCACTGGCTTTCTCCCTGGGCACTCTCACTTGCCCTTGTCTGTGCACTGGAGGCTGAGACTGAGCTGCAGGACTTGGGCCTCAGGTCCGTTTGGAAGATGAGGCTCCTGCTGGGTAGGTCCAGGTAGGGTTCACAGGCTGAGTAGGGAATGACTCTGCTCTGCCACAGATCCTGATGGCTGACTCAGAAGCACTCCCCTCCCTTGCTGGGGACCCAGTGGCTGTGGAAGCCTTGCTCCGGGCCGTGTTTGGGGTTGTTGTGGATGAGGCCATTCAGAAAGGAACCAGTGCCTCCCAGAAGGTGAGTCCTTTCCCCCTCCTCCTTCCCATCAAGCCAGCCTCCTTTCTTTCTTTCCTTCCTTCCTTCCTTCCTTCCTTCCTTCCTTCCTTCCTTCCTTCCTTCCTTCCTTCCTTCCTTCCTGTCTTTTTTTTTTTTTTTTTGACAGAGTCTCACTATGTCGGCCAGGCTGGAGTGCAGTGGCACGATCTCAGGTCACTGCAACCTCCGTCTCCTGGGCTCAAGCAGTTCTTCTGCCTCAGCCTCCCGAGTAGCTGGGATTACAGGCATGTGCCACCACGCCCGGCTAATTTTTGTATTTTTAGTAGAGATGGGGTTTCACCATGTTAGCCAGGCTGGTCTTGAACTCCTGACCTCAGGTAATCTGCCTGCCTAGGCCTCCCAAAGTGCTGAGGTTACAGGCGTAAGCCATCATGCCCGGCCCAAGCCTTCTCTTTTTCTCTCCAAATCTGGCTCAGAACTTTCCTCCTTTTGATAAGGTTTCTCCCCAGAATTCATCCCTGTCCCCCCGGGTACCTCAGGGATTTACATTCTGAGTCTTACTGTGTTCACTACTCTTGCTCATTTTCAGAGTTTTACTTTGGAAATATCCCAAAGTTGTTTTTAGTGCAGATTGGCCGTGTCTCGTGTCTGTGGAGGTGTGTTTTGACAGTCAGTCCACAGGCATCCCAGGCCCCCAGCAGCCCTGGCTCTCTTGCTAGGTCTGTGAGTGGAAGGAGCCTGAGGAGCTGAAGCAGCTGCTGGATTTGGAGCTGCGGAGCCAGGGCGAGTCGCAGGAGCAGATCCTGGAGCGGTGTCGGACTGTGATTCGCTACAGTGTCAAGACTGGTGGGCCCTGGCTTCTTTGGGAAGGAGACTTGGGAGTTTGCCCTGAACTCTGCTCTGAGCTCCCTGGCGTACTCTCCTTCTCCAGGTCACCCTCGGTTCTTCAACCAGCTCTTCTCAGGGTTGGATCCCCATGCTCTGGCCGGGCGCATTATCACTGAGAGCCTCAACACCAGCCAGTGAGCATCCCACGGCCCCTCTACCATCCCACAAAGGATTTAGGTTTGCTGGAGAGGTGCCTGAGGGGTAGGGGAGGAGAATGGTTCTGCCCTCTCTCTACTGCTTCTAGGAATCCCTATCGGCAGAGAGTTTTTCCTTGTATCCTTTGGACCCCCTTTCTCCAAACTTTCTCAGGCCTCCTGACCTCTGTTTTCTCTTTCTTGCTTCCCTGGTTCTGTCACCAACTTGTTCTTCTCCTTGGACTCTTCCTTCGCTCACTGTTCATTGCCTCCTTTTTCTGACGCCTGTGCAGTTTAAGGGCCTGTCTGGGCAGTCCCTCCCCATCTTTCCTTTCTCGTCGCTCTCTCTCCTGGCAGGTACACATATGAAATCGCCCCCGTGTTTGTGCTCATGGAAGAGGAGGTGCTGAGGAAACTGCGGGCCCTGGTGGGCTGGAGCTCTGGGGATGGAATCTTCTGCCCTGGTTTGTGAGAATGAGGGGGACCTTTCTTTGCCCTTTTTATGGGTTCCTCCTTCTGCACCGTTCTCTTGCTCTAAGCATCTGGCAGGGAGGGATGATTCCTCTTTGATTCCTCTCCAGCTGGACCCAGGCCAGACCAGGGAGGAGGCTGTCTCGTCCCTTCCTGCTCATGTTTGTCACTATTCCCTGGGATCACTGGTCTAGTTCCTGCTGTCTCTGGATGGGTGCTGTCTCTTGGGGGCAGCCCCGGGTGTGGAGGGGTGTGGTCAAGAGGATCTGATCCTGGATCCATTCTGAGATGGCATGATCCTGGGAATTGTGGCCTCGGAGCCAGTCATACCTGCTGCTTTGATGAGCTCTTCTGGTGGAAAGGGAAGGGGAGGCAAGCTCCAGTCTTGACCCAGTGCTCCTTCCTCTTGCCACCGCCCCCTCCCTATGACAGGTGGCTCCATCTCCAACATGTATGCTGTAAATCTGGCCCGCTATCAGCGCTACCCGGATTGCAAGCAGAGGGGCCTCCGCACACTGCCGCCCCTGGCACTATTCACATCGAAGGAGGTGGGGAAGAGGCACAGGCCCAACCCTGGGCTCCTGATTCTAATCTCCAGCCAGCTAAGTAGAGACCTTCCAGGTCTTCTCCCTGCCCTCCCCACATCCTGCAAGGCCAGCCTGCCCCCAGGCGGATGTGCTTCCTTCCAGTCAAGGAGGCCAGTAACTGCTCCTGTTCACATTGCCTTCTGTTTGGGGGCAGAGGAGGGGCCGTGAGTACAGTGGACACAGTCCATACTCTTCCTACTCAAGAGTGTGGTCTGTGGACCAGCAGCATTGGTATGACCTGGGGCTTGTTAGAAATGCAGAATCTGACTGGGCGCGGTGACTCACGCCTATAATCCCAGCACTTGAGAGGCTGAGGTGGGCGGATTGCCTGAGCTCAGGAGTTTGATACCACCCTGGGAAACATGGTGAAACCCTTTCTCTACTAAAATACAAAAAATTAGCTAGGCATAGTGGTGGGCACCTGGATTCCCAGCTGCTTAGGAGGCTGAGGCATGAGAATTTCTTGAGCCTGGGAGGTGGAGGTTGCAGTGAGCTGAGATGGCACGACTGCACTCCAGCCTGGGCAACAGAGGGAAACTCTGTCTAAAAAAAAAAAAAAGAAATGCAGAATCTCGGGCCTCACCCCAGACCTCAGACCTAGTGGACCTGAACTTGCATTTTAACCAGACATCCAGGCGATTCGTATGCACGCTAACATTTGAGAAGCCCTTGTCTACAGGATCCCATCTGTTGGAGCTCACACTTGACTTTTACCTTCTCTCCCCTCCCCCATCAAGTTGTGCTAACCTGCCCTCTGCCTTCCCCCGCAGTGTCACTACTCCATCCAGAAGGGAGCTGCGTTTCTGGGACTTGGCACCGACAGTGTCCGAGTAGTCAAGGCTGATGAGAGGTGAAGGTCCTTCTGCCCACATGGCTGTGACCCAGCTTGGCACAGAGTACCTTCCTGCTGCCAGAATGCTCTGGCATCGGGCCCTTTACCGCTGGTGGACCTCTCTCCCCTCGCTGTTCAGTAGAATTGCTGTTCTGGTCTACCAGAGCCTGCCAGCGTCCCCCACCTCTGCCCTGAGATCTGTTTCAACCCCTGAGGGAAAAACTAGCACTGTCATCTCTGCATTGCTAACCCCACCTTACCCTGCCTTCAACAGACAACCTGTCCCTGCTGTACCCTCTGCATTTTCTTTTTCAGAGGGAAAATGGTCCCCGAGGATCTGGAGAGGCAGATTGGTATGGCTGAGGCTGAGGTGAGTAAGTGAGGCTCGCTGGGGTGATGGAGCCTCCAACCTTCTTGGAGGGTTATTGGGGCTCTCCCTGCTCAAGGCACCCTTCATCCCTCTCATCTCCATGCCCATCTTCTCCTGTGGGCTGAAGTGACTGTGGGGAACCTGGGGGTGAGGACACTACATTGCTTTCTGGGGCTCTGCCCAGACACCTATGCCGGGTTGGATTCTGAGAGGCAGGACTGAGTGAGAGCGAGTCCCAGGCAGCACCACAGGGAGGGTGCTGGGGGCCTGCACTGTAGTGTGGAAGGTTCCTGTGGGCTGCAAGGGTCTGTGCAGGGAGAGGCTGAGGAGGGGAGAGGCACTGGTGAAGGCTGTGAGTAGTGGGGATGAGGGGACATTAGCACACTCCTCCACTTTGAGGGGTATGTAACTGCTACAGCCACCTTGGAGGGCATTTTGGCACCATCTGTACAATTTTATTTATTTTTATTTTTTAATAGTTTTTGAGACAGAGTCTCACTCAGTCACCCAGGCTGGAGTGTAGTGGTGTGATTTCAAAAATAATAAATAAATAAATATAAATGTAAATTTTTTTTTTTTTTTTTTTTGAGATGGAGTTTCACTCCTGTTGCCCAGGCAGGAGTGCAATGGTGCAATCTCAGCACACCGCAACCTCCACCTCCCAGGTTCAAGCGATTCTCTTGCCTCAGCCTCCCAGGTAGCTGGGATTACAGGCATGTGCCACCAGGCCTGGCTAATTTTGTATTTTTAGTAGAGACGGGGTTTCTCCATGTTGGTCAGGCTGGTCTCAAACTCCTGACCTCAGGTGATCTGCCTGCCTCAGCCTCCCAAAGTGTTGGGATTACAGGTGTGAGCCACTGTACCCGGCCATTTTTTTTTTTTTTCTTTTTTGAGACAGAGTCTCACTCTGTCACCCTGGCTGGAGTACAATGGCACAATCTTGGCTCACTGCAACTTTTACCTCCTGGGTTCGAGTGATTCTCATGCCTCAGCCTCCCGAGTAGCTGGGATTATAGGCGTGCATCAATATGTCTGGCTAATTTTTGTATTTTTAGTAGAGATGGGGTTCAATGCCATGCTGGTCTTGAACTCCTGACCTCAGGTGATCCACCTGCCTCGGCCTCCCAAAGTGCCGGGATTACAGGCGTGAACCACCATGCCTGGCCACAAATGTTTAAAAAAAACATTTAAATGTCCATTAGTAGATAAAATAAATTATGGTATATCTATGTGTCTTAGTTCCATCCCCTGTAAAATGGACAGAATATAGAACTTGCCACATAGGGTTATTGTAAGGATTGAATGAATCAGTATATGTAAAGCACTTAGAATATTGCCTGGCACATAGATGCACTGTATAAATACAAGCTACTGGTATTGTTGTTATTATTATTTATTACTATTATTAGAGTACTGGGTAGCCATTTAAAAGAATAGATGAGACTATATATACTAACATGAAAGTATCTCCACTGTATATAGTAAATATATATTGCAAATTGCAGTATAGAATGGACATTATGAGCCAGGTGCGGTGGCTCACGTCAATAATCCCAGCACTTTGGGAGGCTGAGGCAGGCAGATCACAAGGTCAGGAGATCGAGACCACCCTGGCTAACATGGTGAAACCCCGTCTCTACTAAAAATACAAAAAATTAGCCAGGCGTGGTGGCAGGCACCTGTAGTCCCAGCTACTCGGGAGGCTGAGGCAGGAGAATGGTGTGAACCTGGGAGGTGGATCTTGCAGTGAGCTGAGATCACGCCACTGCACTCCAGCCTGGGTGACAGAGCGAGACTCCGTCTCAAAAAAAAAAAAAAAAAAAAAAAAAAAGGACATTATGAGCCCATTTTTGTATTTATAACAGTATATATTTATTGATATGTGGATGTTACCTCTGAGTAGCAGTAAGGGCCGCAATTAGAGTAGTGATGTTTCTCTTTTTATTATAGAAACTTTTTTGGTAATAGTTTTATTGATATATAATTCACATAACATATAATTCACCTAACATGTAATTCACCCACTGAAAGGGTACTATTTAGTGGTTTAGCATATTTGCAGAGTTGTGCAAACATCATCACAATCAGTATTAGAACATTTATCTCCCCCAAAAGAAACCTCATACCCTTTAGCCATCGGTCTCTAATTCTCCCAGAACTCCCGGTTCTAGGCAACCAGTAACCTAGTTAGTCTCTCTATATTTGCCAGTTCTGAATTCTGGAATCATATTATACGTGCCTTTTGTGATGAGCTTTTTTTACATAGCATAATGTCTTCAAGGTTCATCCAAGCTGTAGCGTGTATCGGCACTTCCCTTCTTTTATGGCCAAATCATGTTCCATTAAATGGACATACCACATTTATTTATCCATTCATTAGTTGATGGACATTTGGGTTGTTTCCACTTTGGGACTCTTATGAATAATACTGTTATGAACATTTGTGTACAGATTTTTGTGTGAAAATATGTTTTCATTTATCTTGGTTATATACCTAGGAGTGAAACTGCTGGGTCATATGGTAACTCTGTATCTAACCTTTTGAGAAACTGCCAGACTGTTTTCCAAAGTGGCTGCACCAGTTTGCAATCCCAACAGCAGTGTATGAGGGTTCCAGTTGCTCTACATACTCACCAGCACTTGTCATATCTTTTTTTATTATACCATTTAGTGGGTGTGAAGTGGGATCTCATTGTGTTTTGATTTGATTTTCCCTGATGACTAATGCTACTAAGCATCTTGTCATGTACTTATTGGCCATTTGTATATCTTCTTTGGAAAACTGTCTATTCAGATCCTTCACCCATTTTGTTTTTCATAGAACTTTTATTCCAGTAAGCAAGACTGATATTCATAAATATATGTAAAAAAATATATATATATATGTGCTATGAAGGTGAGATACATTGTGCTCTTTGAGCATAGAATACAGGAGAATTGACCTAATCAGGAGGTGAAGGAGTCAGGGAAGGCTTCTCTCAGAAGGGATGGTTGAGCTGAGACTGGAAGGGAGAAAGGAAATAAACTAGGTGGTACCCCTTTGGGTAGACAAGAAGATTCTGTGTGTGTGCAGAGGCCATGGGATATTTCTGGAATTGAAGATATGGGGCTGGAGCAGCTTCCCCCCTTTGCCTGGACTGTTTCCACCCCACCTATAGCCTTCCTCATCCATAGGTACTTGCTTGGGGCTGGTGCTGCCATCCACCCCCACTCTCCTAGTCATCAAGTGGGCATTTGGAAGTGTGTGGAACTATTTTATTTTGCTTTGTGTTGTGACACTAGCCAGTGGGCATTACTGTGTTTATTGAGAGGGAAACAGGGATCCTAAACATTTTTGCAATGTACGGGGATAGCTCTATATGAACAAGAACTGACTCACCCAACATGCCAGAAGGGTCTCTGTTGAGAATCTGCTGCCAGTTCTACTTGTTTTTTTGTGTGTGTAACATAAAATTTACCATCTTAACCATTTTTACATGTACAGTTCAGTAGTGTTAAATACATTAACATTGTTGTGCAACCAGTCTCCAGAACTCTTTTCATCTTGTTTTTTGTTTTGTTTTGTTTGAGACAGAGTATCACTGTGTCCCCCAGGCTAGAGGGCAGTGGCACAATCTCAGCTCACTGCAACCTCTGCCTCCTGGGTTCAAGCGATTCTTGTGCCTCAGCCTCCTGAGTAGCTGGGATTACAGGCCCCCTGCCACCAAACCTGGCTAGTTTTTGTATTTTTAGTAGAGACGGGATTTTGCCATGTTGGCCAGACTGGTCTCGAACTCCTGGCCTCAAGTGATCTGCCCACCTTGGTCTCTCAAAGTGCTGGCATTACAGTCATGAACCACTGCATCCAGCAGAACTCTTCATTTTGTAAAACTGAAACTCCATACTCATCAAACAACAACTCATTACCCCCTCTTCCAGCCCCTGGCAGCCACCATTCTGTCTCCATGACTTTGACTACTCTAAGTACTTATATAAGTGGAATCATACGGTATTTGTCTTTTTCTTTTCTTTTCTTTTTTCTTGAGACAGAGTTTCGCTTTTGTAGCTCAGGCTGGAATGCAATGGCGCCAACTTGGCTCACTGCAACCTCCGCCTCCTGGGTTCAAGCAATTCTCCTGCCTCAGCCTCCCAAGTAGCTGGGGTTACAGGTGCACACCACCACATCCAGCTAATTTTTTGTATTTTTAGCAGAGACAGGGTTTCACCATGTTTTGGCCAGGCTGGTCTCGAACTCCCGACCTTGTGATCTGCCTGCCTCGGTCTCCCAAAGTGCTGAGATTACAGGCGTGAGCCACCATGCCTGGTGGTATTTGTCTTTTTCAGTTGGCTTATTTCACTTAGCAGAATGTCCTCAAAGTTCATCCATGTTGTAGCATGTGAGAATTTTCTTCCTTTTTAAGGCTGAATAATATTTCATTGTACATATATGCCATATTTTGCTTATCCATTTATCTGTTTGAGTTGTTTGGAATCTCTTCAAGACCGTGCTTTCAGTATTTTGGGTGTGTACTCAGAAGTGGAATTGCTGGAGCATATGGTAATTCTATTGAATTGTTTTGAGGAACTGCCATACTGTTTTCTATAGTGGCTGAACCAGTTTACATTCCCGCAGTGCACAAGGGTTCTAATTTCTTCACATCCTTGTCAACGCTTGTTATTTTCTTCTTCTTCTTTTTTTTTTTTTTTTTTTTGAGATGGAGTCTTGCTCTGTCGCCCAGGCTGGAGTGCAGTGGTGCGATCTCGGCTCACTGCAAGCTCTGCCTCCTGGGTTCACACCATTCTCCTGCCTCAGCCTCCCGAGTAGCTGGGACTACAGGTGCCTGCCACCAGGCCTGGCTAATTTTTTTTTGTAGTTTTGGTGGAGACGGAGTGTCACGTCTTTGGTAGAGACGGGGTGTTAGCCAGGATGGTCTTTATCTCCCGACCTTGTGATCCGCCTGCCTTGGCCTCCCAAAGTGCTGGGATTACAGGTGTGAGCCACCGCGCCCGGACAATGCTTGTTATTTTCTGCTTTGTTTTGTTTTTTTGAGACAGGGTCTTGCTCTGTCACCCAGGCTGGAGTGCAGTGGTGCGATCATGGTTCACTGCAGCCTCAACCTCCTGGGCTCAAGTGATTCTCCCACCTCAGCCTCCCAAGGAGCTGGGACCACAGGTGCACACTGCGACATGTGGCCAATTTTAAAAATTATTTTTGGTAGAGACACATTTCTACCAAAATTCCTTTTCGCTGTGTCACCCAGGCTGGTCTCAAACTCCTAGGCTCAAGCCATCCTCCCACCTCAGCCTTTTACAGTACTAGGATTACAGGCGTGAGCCACTGCATCCCGCCATTTTCTGTTACTTTGATAGTAGTTATCCTAAATGGGTATGAAGTGGTAACTCATTGTAGTTTTGATTTGCATTTCCCTAATGATTAGTGATGTTGAGCATCTTTTCATGTGCTTATTAGCCATTTATATATCTTTATTGAAAAAATGTCTAGTCAGATCCTTTGCCCATTAAAAAAATTACGTTGTCTTTTTGTTACTGAGTTCTTCATATATTCTAGATGTAAGTCCCTTATCAGATATATGATATTCAGATATGTTCTTCCCACTCTCTAGGTTGATTTTTCACTTTTCTGAAACTTTTATTTTAGATTCAGTAAGGACATGTGCAGGTTTGTTCTAAGGGTATATTGTGTGATTCTGAGGTTTGAAGCACGATTGAACCCATCACCCAGGTAGTGAGCATAGTACCCAATAGGTATGTTTTCAACTTTTTCTCCCCTCTCTCCCGCTTCTTACAGTCCCCAGTGTCTTTTATTCCCATCTTTCTGTCCATGTGGACTCAGTATTTAGCTCCCACTTACGAGAACATGTGGTATTTGGTTTTCTGTTTCTGTGTTAACTCACTTAGGATACTGGCCTCCAGCTGCACCCACGTTGCTGCAACGGACATGATTTCATTCTTTTTTTATGGCTGCATAATACTTCATGGTTTGTACATGCCACATTTAAAAAAATCTAATCCACTGTTGGTGGGCACCTAGGTTGATTCCATGTCTTTGCTGTTGGACTTTTCACTTTTTTGATAGTGTCCTTTGAAGTACAAAAGTTTTAAATTTTGAAGTCCAATTTATCTACTTTTTCTTTGGTTGCTTCTGCTTTTGGTGTTATATCTAACCTAACCCAAGCTCACAAAGATTTACTCCTATATTTTCTTCTAAGAGTTTTATAGTTTGAGCCCTGAGATTTAGGCCTATGATCCAATATGAGTTAATTTGAGGGTGTGATATGAGAAAGGCATTCAAACTGCATTGTTTGCATGTGGATAGCCAGTTGTTCCAGCACCATTTGTTGAAAAGACAATTCTTTCTTCAATAAATTGTCTTGGCATCCTTGTTGTAAATCAGTTGACTGTAAATGTGAGGATTTATTTCTGAGTTCTCAGTTCTGTTCCACTGATCTACATGTCTATCCTGTAGACTACATTGTCTTGATTCAACTGTAGCTTTGTAGTATGTTTTGAAATCAGGAAGTGTGAGTCCTCCAACTTTGCTTTTTTTCAAGATTGTTTTTGGCTAGTCTGGGTTTCATGAATTTCCATATGAATTTAAGATCAGCTTGTCCATTTCTGCAAAGAGGGCAACTGGGATTTTGATAGGAGTTGTGCTCATTCATCAACATGAAACATCTTTCCATTTATTTAGGTCTTTAATTTCTTTCCACAGTGTTTTGTAGTTTTCAGAGTATATGCTTTATACTTCTATTGTTAAATCAATTCTTAAGTATTTTATTCTTTTTGGTGTTTTTGTAAATGAAATTGTTTTCTTAATTTCATTTTTAGATTGTTCATTGCTAATGTGTATAGAGATACAATTGATTTTTGTATATTCTGTCTTTTGGAAGAGTTTATGATCTGTTACCAATTTTTGTTAAATGTTCGATGGAATTTATCAGCAAAGCCATCTGGACCTGGGCGTTTCTTTTCTTTTTAACTTAAAAAAAATTGAGACAGGGTCTTGCTCTGTTGCTGAGACTGGAGTGCAGTGGCACGATCAGGGCTCACTGCAGCCTTGACCACCTGGGCTTAAGTGATCCTCCCACCTCAGCCTCCCAGGTAGCTGGGACTATAGGAGTGCACCACTATACACCTATTTTTTTTCTTTTTTTTTTTTTGAGATGGAGTTTCGCTCTTGTTGCCCAGGCTGGAGTGCCGCAATCTCAGCTCACAGCAACCACCACCTCCTGGGTTCAAGTGATTCTCCTGCCTCAGCCTCCCAAGTAGCTGGGATTACAGGCATGTGCCACCACGCCCAGCTAATTTTGTATTTTTAGTAGAGACGGGGTTTCTCCATGTTGGTCAGGCTGGTCTTGAACTCCAGACCTCAGGTGATCCGCCTGCCTTGGCCTCCCAAAGTGCTGGGATTACAGGCGTGAGCCACCACACCCAGACTTTTTTTTTTTTTTTCTTTTGTAGAGGTGAGGTCTCACTAGGTTGCCCAGGCTGGTCTTGAACTCCTGGGCTCAAGCAATGCTCCTGCCTTGGCCTCCCAAAGTGCTGGGATTATAGGCATGAGCTACCACATCAAGCTGTGGTAGTCTTAAAAATTACTAATTCAATTTCTGCATAAACTTTTGTACTAAGCCGGGCGCGGTGGCTCACGCCTGTAATCCCAGCACTTTGGGAGGCTGAGACGGGTGGATCACGAGGTCAGGAGATCGAGACCATCCTGGCTAACACGGTGAAACCCCGTCTCTACTAAAAAGTACAAAAAACTAGCCGGGCGAGGTGGCGAACACCTGTAGTCCCAGCTACTTGGGAGGCTGAGGCGGGAGAATGGCGTGAACCCGGGAGGCGGAGTTTGCAGTGAGCCGAGATCCGGCCACTGCACTCCACCAGCCTGGGCGACAGAGCGAGACTCTGTCTCAAAAAAAAAAAAAAAAAAACTTTTGTACTACTCAAATTTATTTATTTATTTGTTTGTTTGTTTGTTTGTTTGTTTATTTAGAGACAGAGTCTCACTTTGTTACCCAGGCTGGAGTGCAATGGCACAATCTCGGCTCACTGCAACCTCTGCTGCCCGGGTTCAAGTGATTCTCCTGCCTCAGCCTCCTGAGTAGCTGGGATTACAGGCACCTGCCACTGCGCCTGGCTAATTTTTGTAGTTTTAGTAGAGATGTTGGCCAGGCTGGTCTTAAACTCCTGACCTCATGATCCACCTGCCTCAGCCTCCCAAAGCGCTGGGATTACAGGTGTGAACCACCGCGCCCAGCCTATTTATTTATTTTAAGACAGAATCGTGATCTTTTGCCCAAGCTGGAGTACAATGGCGCGATCTTGGCTCAGTGCAACCTCTGCCTCCCGGGTTCAAGCGATTCTCATGCCTCTGCCTCGGCTTCCACCTCCCAAAGTGCTGGGATTACAGGCCTGAGCTACTGTGCCTGGCCTGTTTGTTTATATTTTTTGAGACAGAGTTTCATTCTGTTGCCCAGGCTGGAGTGCAGTGGCACAATCATAGCTCACTGTAACCTCAAACTTCTGGGCTGAAGCAATCCTGCCATCTCAGCCTCCTGAGTAGCTGGGACTACAGGTATGCGCCACTACACTTGACTAATTAAAAAAAAAATTTTTTTTTAGAGGTGGGGTCTTGCTCTGTTGCCCAGGCTGGTCTTGAACTTCTGGCCTCAGGCAATCCTGCCTTGGCCTCCCAAAGTGTCGAGATTATAGGTGTGAGCCACTATGCCTTTTTCAGTAGCATTGGATCTGCCAGTAAAACATTCAAGTTTTTTGAGAGTATGAGCTTTGGAAATAAAAACCTAGGTTCAAAGTCCATCTCTGGAGCTTCTGCTTGGATCTTTGAATCTCAGTGTCCCTGACTGCACATTAAAAAGGACAGTAACACATTGTTGTGAGGTTGAAATGGGCCATTTTAGGCATGCAAAGAGCTTAGAGCTGGGCCCAGCACCAGGCTCTGAGTTGCTTTTGAGATGACTTTACATCTTTCTCCCTCTACATTTTGGCAACAGGGTGCTGTGCCGTTCCTGGTCAGTGCCACCTCTGGCACCACTGTGCTAGGGGCCTTTGACCCCCTGGAGGCAATTGCTGATGTGTGCCAGCGTCATGGGCTCTGGCTGCATGTGGATGTGAGTGGGACTTGGGCTTGGGGGTGCGGTGGGGTGGGCTGAGCCAAGGCCAAGGCCCACGTTGTTCCTCCTGCTCCACAGGCTGCCTGGGGTGGGAGCGTCCTGCTGTCACAGACACACAGGCATCTCCTGGATGGGATCCAGAGGTGCATACAGTCCCCTTCTTCCCAAATCCCACCCTTCAAACCATTGGTCCAGAGAATCATCATGGACTAGGGAGTTTAACATGGCTGGGGAAGGAGGCTGAGGGGAGGGGGACTGGAGAGGATTGATTGGAGCTGGGAGGTCAGACATGGCAGTTCTTCCTGATGCCGGGGTGAGGGTGAGACCAAAGCACCTTTACTGGGGTCCTGGAAAAGGAGGAGGGGCTCTGGTTGGGCAGCTGGAGGAGGAGCCACTGACCTGCCTTTGCTCCACCCCATCCAGGGCTGACTCTGTGGCCTGGAATCCCCACAAGCTCCTCGCCGCAGGCCTGCAATGCTCTGCACTTCTTCTCCAGGATACCTCGGTGGGTCTGCCCCTGCCCCTGCACCAGCCCCACCTGTCTCTGGAGCTCTGCCTTCTCTATCCTACCTTAGATAAAGTTCAGGCCTTTCTCTATTCTCCTTACCATCCCTTCTGAAGCTGCATCTCTGCTACCATCCTATCCTGTATTAGGCTCCTTCACTACCCCAGGGTCCTGTTTTCAAAGGGAAAAGGTTCCAGTTTGAAGTTGGAGTCAGAGGTATCCTGGAGTTTCTAGCTTGAAGTTGCCATCAGAGTTTAGGAAGAACCCTGGGTACTGAGAGGAAACCCAAAGAAGGTTGGAGCCAGCAGGCAGCCATCCCAGCAGTGCCGCCTGGTTCCAGGGAAAGAAAAGGGTATCCTGAGCTAAGACCCCCACAGTGCAGCCCTGGAGGAAAGCCTCGGTGGAGAGGGTAGGGTCTGACAATCTCCTCACCCCTACACAGAACCTGCTCAAGCGCTGCCATGGGTCCCAGGCCAGCTACCTTTTCCAGCAGGACAAGTTCTACGATGTGGCTCTGGACACGGGAGACAAGGTAGTGCAGTGTGGCCGCCGTGTGGACTGTCTGAAGCTGTGGCTCATGTGGAAGGCACAGGGCGATCAAGGGCTGGAACGGCGCATCGACCAGGCCTTTGCCCTTGCCCGGTAGGCGGGTGGAGTGGGGGTGTGTGGGGGGTCGTCCCTGTTCCCCTCTCCTGGGTCACTGCCCCTCCCCCTTTCCTGCTCCCCGGGATTATTTTTCTCTCAGTCTCTCTGTGGCTCATTCTAAGTAGGCCTCTTTTGTCTCTGGATCTCTGCTTTTCCTCCCCGCCTATGGTTTCTCACTGTTCACAGGTACCTGGTAGAGGAAATAAAGAAGCGGGAAGGGTTGGAGCTAGTCATGGAGGTAGGACCCCCTTCTCTTTTGTGGCACCTGCCCCCGCCCAGCTCTTTTGCAGCTACCTAACCCCAACTAAAGCCCTAGTGGAGGAAAAAGGGCAGGGAGAGGGAAAACGGTCCCCGTTCCTCAGCATACACCTTCCTCTTTCTCATTCCTCTCAGCCTGAGTTTGTCAATGTGTGTTTCTGGTTCGTACCCCCCAGCCTGCGAGGGAAGCAGGACAGTCCAGATTACCACGAGAGGCTGTCCAAGGTAGGCGTGCTCTGCCGCTCTGCTTTCCCCTTAGGGACCTGATGCGCTTCTGCCCCCTGCTGGCTGGGAGTGGCATGGCAGGTCCCCTTGCTGGTCTCTTGCTCTGAGGCACGGACGCTCTTTTGGGTAGGGGTAGGGTTGGGGATGGGGAGGAAGGTATGTTTCTGGTAAGTAAGAAGAAGCGAGGGGTGTTACAGGAGAAGTCAGAGAAGTTACCAGTGTGCAGTACACAGAGCCCTGTGCTGGCAATTGGGCTGGGAACTCAGGCCCAGGACAGATATGAGGCAGAAAGATCATGGAAGAGCTTTATCACCCGTGCTGGGGACAGAGCAACCCGGGAAGGCCAGTCTAGAAGTGCCACCTGGAGGCAAGGAGCTGTGTTATATCCTGGTCCCTAAAGATAGAGTAGTACTAGGTGCTGCAGATGATCCGAAAGGACAAATGTTCTTGCCCTGATGGAGTTGTTATTATAAAACAAGAGTTACTATTTGGAAGCAATGTGTTCAAGGCAATTTTGTAAATTACTTGCTAGATCACAGGGCACAGATTAATATTATCAAAAATATTACAGGAATTAAGAGAGGGGAGAAGAAGGTGTTGACTAAGCCTTAGATGACCAAGGCTTGAAGTTAGACTAAAGCAGTGTTAGGAATCAAGAGAAAGTCAAGATTTGGCAGAAAATGGCCCACATGACAGATTTGTTGGAGATGGGAGAAATGGGGAGAAAAGCAGAAGATAGAGAAGGCCAAGGAGGTTAGATATGACAGAAAAGGTAAACTGAGGCCAAGGTCAACGTCTGACCAATGTATGCTACCCCTAGAAGGTGGCTGGGTGGGAGGGGAAAGCACCTCTGAAAGCCTGGCAGGACAAGAAGCCAGCCTACCTGTCAGCCGACCCCAGGCTGCAACTGGAATCTCTCTCCACCCTCCCACAGGTGGCCCCCGTGCTCAAGGAGCGCATGGTGAAGGAGGGCTCCATGATGATTGGCTACCAGCCCCACGGAACCCGGGGTAACTTCTTCCGTGTGGTTGTGGCCAACCCTGCGCTGACCTGTGCTGATATGGACTTCCTCCTCAACGAGCTGGAGCGACTAGGCCAGGACCTGTGAGCCTTCTCCTTGCTGCCAGCCTTGATACCACCCCTCACCCGCAGAGTCGCTGCATTTCCTCCCTGTGCTCTCAAGAACAGCCTTTGAGGCCGGGCACGGTGGCTCATGCCTGTAATCCCAGCATTTTGGGAGGCCGAGGCGGGTGGATCACTTGAGGTCAGGAGTTCGAGACCAGCCTGGCCAATAAGGTGAAACCCTGTCTCTACTAAATATACAAAAATTAGCCGAGCATGATGGCATTCGCCTGTCATCCCAGCTACTCGGGAGGCTGAGGCAGAATTGCTTGAACCCAGGAGGCAGAGGTTGCAGTGAGCCGAGATCGCACCCCTGCACTCCAGGCTGGGCAACAGAACGAGACTCTGTCTCAAAAAAAAAAAAAAAAAAAAAAAGAACAGCCTTTCTAGGCCACAGTGATCTGCACAATGTTTATATGCTTTGACCTACTAACTCCTTCTCCTAACTAAATATTTGATTTTAGGAGAGTGTTTAAATAAATTATAGTATGTCTGTATGATGGAATGTCATTTTGCCATTAAAATTATGTTTACAAAGATAATTTTTATTGACATAAAAATAACTTTAATGGGCCGGGCGCGGTGGCTCAAGCCTGTAATCCCAGCACTTTGGGAGGCCGAGACGGGCGGATCACGAGTTCAGGAGATCGAGACCATCCTGGCTAACATGGTGAAACCCCGTCTCTACTAAAATACAAAAAAAAAAAAATTAGCCGGGCGAGGTGGTGGGCGCCTGTACTCCCAGCTACTCGGGAGGCTGAGGCAGGAGAATGGCGTGAACCCGGGAGGCGGGGCTTGCAGTGAGCTGAGATCTGGCCATTGCACTCCAGCCTGGGCAACAGAGCTAGACTCCGTCTCAAAAAAAAAAATAAAATAAAATAACTTTAATGTAATTTATGTTGAAAAAGCTGAATATAAGACTTTATATACAGTAATATTTGAGCTATGTTCAAAAATACATAGGAAAAGACTGATAAAATGAAATATGGCAAAATGTTAATAGTTTTCCCTGGAATAGGGTAATAGGCAATTTTAAAATAGACTCCTTTAAAAAAACAAAAGAAAAAAGCATAGACTCCTTTATATGTTTTGAGCTCCCTCCCTTTTATTATGTAATCAATATGCATTACTTTTGTAATGGGAAAATAATAAAGTTAAAATTTCAAGTGCATTCTTTTGGTATGTTTTTGAAATTTATGAACATTCAACCAGCCAAGCACGGTGGCTCACGTCTGTAATCCCAGCACTTTGGGAGGCCGAGGCATGAAACCCTGTCTCTACTAAAAATACAGAAATTAGCCAGGCATGATGGCGGGTGCCTGTAATCCCAGCTACTTGGAAGGCTGAGGTGGGAGAATTGCTTGAACCCAGGAAATGGAGGTTACAGTGAGCTGAGATCACGCCATTGCACCGTAGCCTGGGCAACAGAGCAAGACTGTCTCAGAAAACGAAGCACAACAAAACATTCAATCAAATAATGGAGAACTTTATTTTTTTTTTTTTTAAACAAGATATGGCCGGGTATGGTGGCTCAGGCCTATAATCCTAGCACTTTGTGAGGCTGAGGTGGGAGAATCGCTTGAGCCCGGGAGTTCAAGACCAGCCTGGGCAACATAGCAAGACCCATCTCTAAAAAAAAAATTTTTTTTTTTAATTAGCCAGACATGATGGTGTACACCTGTGGTCTCAGCTGTTTCAGAGGAGGTGGTAAAATTGCTTGGGCCCAGAGGGTTGAGGCTGCAGTGAGCTGTGATTGCATCAGCACTCCAGCCTGAGTAACAGCGTGAGAATTTATCTCAAAAAAGTGAAATAAAAAGATGGTAAGAGAGGAACAATTTTTTTTCCCCTGAAAACCTTTAATGGGAGAGAAAAAGCAGAATCACCCTATAATCAATTTTACTTTGGTGACATTGAAACAAAATGGACACGGATTGGATCTTGAGACCAGAGCCTTATGTAATTATCAATCTCGAAAAATCTTAACATGCACACAAAGATTTTTCTTCTGAAATTTAAACAATAGAAAAGTTAATGATAATGACAACTAACCAGCAACCAAACCACTGCATGTCCTGTGGTTTTCTTACTGTCTTACATAAAAACATCCATTTAACGTTTTTTTTTGGGCAGGGGACAGAGTCTCGCTCTGTCACCCAGGCTGGAGTGCAGTGGCGCAATCTCGGCTCACTGCAAGCTCCGCCTCCCAGGTTCACGCCATTCTCCTGCCTCAGCCTCCCAAGTAGCTGGGACTACAGGTGCCTGCCGCCATGCCCGGCTAATTTTTTGTATTTTTAGTAGAGATAGGGTTTCACCGTGTTAGCCAGGATGGTCTCGATCTCCTGACCTCGTGATCCACCTGCCTCGGCCTCCCAAAGTGCTGGGATTACAGGCGTGAGCCACTGAGCCCAGCCAACTTTTTTTTTTTTTTTTGAGACGGAGTTTCACTCTTGTTGCCCAAGCTGGAGTACAATGGCATGATCTCTGCTCACTGCAACCTCCGCCTCCCGGGTTCAAGTGATTCTCTGGTCTCAGCCTACCGAGTAGCTGGGATTACAGGTGCATGCTACCATGCCCGGCTAATTTTTGTATTTTTAGTAGAAATGGGGTTTCACCATGTTGGCCAGGCTAGTCTCAAACTCATGACCTCAAGTGATCCATCCGCCTCGGCTTCCCAAAGTGCTGGGATTACAGGCGTGAGCCACCGTGCCCAACCCATCCATTTAACATTTAAAATCCTAGCTGATACTGTTTCTCAATCACTTTTTGGGAAAGAGACATTTAGCTACACAAGTTATTAAGGACAAGTGGCAAGTCTACCAGAACTTTTTGTTATTTCCAATTCCTAAAAATATCATTTATGGAAACAGTAATGTGGCCATGTAAAAGTCATCCAAAGTTATTTGAAGAGCAAATACAGACTGTACGAATCATAGCAAAAGAACATCCAAATCTCCGACGCAATTCTTTTGACCATTTGGAGAAAAAAAGCCTTTCATAAATTGCTAGTAATTCCCCTATAAAGTTGTTATTCTCATTATGAATGGTATTTTAATTTCCTCTAATAGTAGAATTTTTGACACCTTCAATGTAAACTCCAAACTCTACTCTTAAAGGATTCTGTGTATCTGCAAAATGTCTCAAATATAGAAAAAAAAAAGCCTTACTCGAAGCAAAGCCAGAAAGCAAAAACAAAAATAAAATCTTCAAATTCCTTGAATCATCTCCATTTGAGAAATATTTTAAAGAGAAGGCCAGAAGAACAGAACATAAAATCAGTTAATCACTTGTTTTTTTTCTTTTTTCTTTCTTTCAACTTTATAAAACTGATGTTTCTTTTCTCCTTTCCCAAAATTCAGCCTCAGACTCTCTGGATTCAATAAAGTTACACTCTATATTTTAATTATTTATTTTTAAAGTTTCTGTCTCATCTAACTGGAATGTAAGCTCTGAGAGCAGAGAGCTTACATTTTGCTACCTCCCAAAATACTGCCTGGTGCTTACGAGGTGGTTGCTTTGTTGAGTGAATGGTTCATGAGCTTCGGAAACTAGCTGGTTTGCTCTCAGTCATACAACTTTTTAAAAACTAAAATAAAATTGAGACAGGGTCTGGCTATGTTGCCCAGGCTGGTCTCAAACTCCTGGGCTCAAAGCAACCCTCCAGCCTCAACCTTCCAAGGGCCAGGATTCCCAGCAGAGCTGCTGCACCCAACCGTTCACACAACTTGTAAGTGGTGGAGTCAGAAACTAAACTCAGACCATCTTGCTCTGGTTCTTAACTATGGATCTGACCAGCTTCTGTTGACAGGTGTATCTAATTCATATGTGTGTCCGTTAGGACTGTACACCTTAATAGCCTTAGTAGCCTAACCTTAATAGCATAAATTATTAACCATGTGCTGTGGATCTACTGCTTGCAGGAAGGTTGAGGCCATTCCCAGGTTTAGTCACCCATCTTGCCCTTGGTCTGGGGAAATGATATTTCCCTCAAATAGGAAAATAAAGGCATTGGAAACGCCTGAGTGGGTTGCAATGTTAGAATTATTTTTTGTTGTCGTTTGGTTTTGATTTTGGTTTCGGTAAGAGCAAAGGCATCAAAGTATCCTAGTCTCTAGCACCTAGGGACCAGCCTCCCCTTGCCTGGGGAAGGAAGATGGTGCCCTTCACAGGGTGGAAGGCCAGGACCTGGGAAGGTAAGAAGCTGGGTGGGGTACCTATGATGTCATAGCAGCTCTCTGAGGTTGAGAGTAAGAGCCCTTTTAAGAAAGTAGATAAATCCCAGCTACTCAGGAGGCTGAGGTAGGAGAATCGCTTGAACCTGGGAGGTGGAGGTTGTGGTGAACCAAGATCGCACCATTGCAACCCAGTCTGGGTAACAAGTGCGAAAATCTGTCAAAAAAAAAAAAAGTAGATAAAAGAGAACAAGCTAAAGTCAGAATTTGACTGGACACTTGGAACTGTCCTTATACACCCTAGTCCTCATTTGGCTCTTTCTCTTCTGTTTATGTGCCTTTTAAAAACCTTTTTTATAGCATCCTTCAATAGCTCAGCTGGTACAGCAGAGGACTATAGTCAACATCTTTTTATTTTGAAATAATTTCAAACTTATAGAAAAGTTGCATTCTTGTAATTATTCTTAGTTACAGATACCTCCCATATACTCTTTACCCAGATTTATCCATTTCTCACATTTTGACAAATTTGCTTTGTCATTCTTTCTCTAAATGCATTATACTCATTTTTTTCTGAATCATTTGAGAGTCAGTGCATATATTATGACCCTTTATCTCTTAATACTATAATGCCTATTTCTCAATAGCAAGAATATTCTCTTAAATAATCATGGTACAGGTTTAGCCGGATGTAGTGGCATATTCCTGTAATCCCAGGTACTTGGGAGGCTGAGGCAGGAGAATCCCTTAAACCCTGGAGGTGGAGGTTGCAGTGAGCCGAGATCACGCCACTGCACTCCAGCCTGGGCGACAGAGTGAGACTCTGTCTCAAAAAAAAAAAAAAAAATCATGGTACAGGCTAGGCAAGGTGGCTCACACTTGCAATCCCAGCGCTTTGAGAGGCTGACGTGGGAGTATCCCTTGACTCCAGGAGTTCAAAATCAGCCTGGACAACACAGCAAGACCCTATTTCTATAAAAACATAAAAAATAAGTTAGCCCAGCATGGTGGCATGCTCCTATAGTCCCAGCTACTCGGGAGGCTGAGGTGGGAGGATTCCTTGAGCCTAGGAGTTTGAAGCTGCAGTGAGCTATGGTTGAGCCACTGCACTCCATCCTGGGCAACAGAGCAAGACCCTGTCTCTAAAATTAACAAAATATATATTATGGTACAATGATCAAATACAGGAAATTTAACATTGACATTATAAAGTTCATATTCCACCATTGTCAACTGTCCCGATAACATCCTTGGTAGCACTTCCCCCTCCAGCACAAGGCCCAGTTCCCCAGCATGGATTGCATTTTGTTGTCATTGCTGTTTGTCTCCTTTGATCTAAAATACTTCCTCAGCCTTTCTTGGTCATTAATGACACTGACATTAAAAAAAAAATACGGGCCAGCTATTGTATAGAATGTTCATCAATTTGTGTTTTCCTGATGTTTGCTCATGACCGGGTTTAAGTTATGCATCTGACCTGAAATACGACATAAATTGTGTTGTGTTCTTTTAAGGGAAAGCCCAACCCAAGCCCTACAATGTCTACCTGCTCCTTACTGGTGATGTTAATTTAATCAAGGTCGAACTTGCTAATGATGTTGTCTGGTTTCTCCATGATATATAGTTACTATTTTGTAACTTGCGAACTTGTAACAATTTGTAAATAATCTGTAGGGAGACGCTTTGAGATCATGCAAATAACCCTGCCCAGTTCAGCTTTCCCCACCTAGATTTAGCATTGAGGTAGGAAGCGGGACTCGATTCCAGAGGCAGGGCTTGGGCACTGGACCAAATTGAAGATTAGCTAAAACAGGAATGGGGCAGAAGCAGCTTTCCATAAGACACACACCCCCAAGTGTGCCATGTCAGTTTACCATTGCCATGGCAACAACACCTAGGAGTTACCACCCTTTCCCATGGTAACGACCCGATGACCCAAAAGTTACTAATTCCCTAGAAATTTCTGCATAAACCACTCCTTAATCTACGTGTAATTAAAAGT